TGAAAAATATTTAATTTAATAATTGTATTAAGTTTTTTAGAAAAAATAACATTTAAATTATAATATTGATTTTTGTAAATTAAAATTAGAATCTTAATCAATGTAAATTAAAATTATTATCTTAGTTAATTATTACATTTGACATAAAATTTAAATTTTAAAAACAAAATTTTGCAAAAAACAAAAACATTTGTACTATATTTAACACTTTTCAAAAGTTTAGGGCAACTTGTCAACAGTTAGAAATAATTCCGTTAATTAGTTAATGGAATGTTTGTTAAGTAAACAATTTTGAAACAAAATTGATAGTTTATAGATCATTTTGAAAGCAAAAATTATTTTTAAATTAAACTGAAATAAACTACATAATTAATAAATCATTTATTGAATTTTGCCGGTGTGCGAGATTGAGGTGCAAGCAGTGGTCTGGATGGGCTAATTGGGCCAAGCTCGAGTCTGGAAGGTGCTAGGCCATTGTACATAGCTTTTGTGCAAATAATTCTAGAATTCTCTATGCTAAATTAGGAAGGAGAATGCAGAGACTTCTAACAATTATAAATATGAGGGAAGTATTGGGGCTGTTCTAAAGCCATCACTTGGAGGGCTTGATGGGGCAAACTTCTTTTTTAAGTAGAATGGCCATTTGCTCCAAGAGGGTAGAGGTTAGAAAGGGCCAAGAGATGCTAGGTGAGTGAGTGCATAGAGGCTTATGTAGTTCAACTCTTGTAATACTACCTTGTGATCTAATAAACCCTCTTCTTCTCCCAAAGCTCTCACCTTTGTTTATAGTATGTTGCAAACCTCATAGTCCGGTGGGTGGGCTGCGACTACATTGGGGAAAGGTATACTTGGTTTGGCTAAGGGGTTAATTTCAAGTTAAGTGTTTCATGGTGATTTACTAAAGTCTCATCCTATGACAACAAGCTCAACTATTTTTAATTTGATAAAACCTCAAGTTCAACTCATACTTAAGTTTTTAAAATGAGTTCAAGTACAAGTACTTAAATATTGACCTTGTTGGAGAAGAAAGACCTTTAAATATGGTAGCAGTGTTTATTTTCATATACAATTTTGTTAATGCAACGTGACTTCAATGATATTAATTTTACCAGTTTATTACTTTTTCTTTCAATAATTAATTATGATAGTTAAAAACATTTATTTGTAAATTAAGTTTAATCTATTATATAATAAATATAAGATATTTTATTAACTATAAATTATTTTTATAAATAAATTAACAAAATATTAATAAAATTATATAATCTTAATTTAAAAAAAGGGCCCTCAATAACCACAATCAAAAGGCTTTCTCCCATAATCAAGGATGAATTATTGAAGTCCCTACCCATTGAATTCTCGAAAATGATATCAATAATATGCCAAAAAAAAGAAATTGATTTAAATCCAATTCCATTATTGATATTTCCCTTGTGGTTCAAAAAAATCCCATTAATGATCTCTAATGTAAAGATATCTGCAATTAGAGTATCAAAACAGAGCAACATTTCTTTCTGCAACATCCACCACTCTGATTAACCAAAAAAAAAAAAAAAAAAAACATCCACCACTCTGTTTCCTCCATGAGTATTGTCCAACAAAAGCTTCACATCGTAGTGTTCCCATGGCTGGCGTACGGCCACATCCTCCCCTTTCTCGAAGTCTCCAAATTCTTAGTCCAAATGGGTCATCGAGTATCATACATCTCTACCCCCAAAAACATAAGCCGCCTCCCAAAATTCCCTTTGGAATTATCGCCTAATTTGAGCTTTGTAGTACTTCCCATGCCTCAAGTTGAGGGGCTGCCGCCAGGGGTGGAGTCCACCGCCGATATTCCGGTTCACAAAGTGCCTTACCTCAAGAAGGCATATGACAATCTGGAAACCCCTTTGGCTGACTTCCTCAAAGCCTCACGGGTAGATTGGATTATCCATGATTTCGCGCCACACTGGTTACCGCGAATTGCTGCTCCGATGGGGATAAGCTTGGTTTTTTTCTGCATTTACAGCGCTTCCACCACCGCTTTTTACGGCCCTCCAGACGAGCTAATTGGAGGCCACCGGCAGCGCTCAGAGGAGTTCACCGTCACCCCTGAATGGATTGATTATCCTTCTAATATAGCTTTTAAGCTCCATGAAATAGTGAATCTCGAGCAGTGTATGGACCAAGACGCCAACGATTTTATCAGGTGGGGATCCGTTGTTCAAGGCTGCCAAGTTGTGACTCCGAGGAGTTGCCCTGAGTTTGAACCGGACCCGCTTCGTTTGCTTCCTAGGCTTTTGCAGAAACCAGTTGTTCCGATTGGGTTGCTGCCGCCGTTAGTGACATCAGCACCACCTGAAGAAGACGATGAAGACGACACATGGAAATCATTGAGAAAGTGGCTTGATGGTAAAAACCCGAAGTCGGTTTTTTACATCGCACTTGGCACCGAGGTGGCTCTGAGTCCGTCGTTGTCGCACGAGTTGGCATTGGGGATACAGAAATCGGGACTGCCCTTCGTCTGGATCATCAAGAATCGCCCGTTGGTAGAAGGGCAGATGGATCAAGACATCCTCCCGCCGGAGTTCGAAGAGCGGATCTCCGATCGGGGCTTTGTGTTGAGGGGGTGGGCACCCCAGGTGAGAATCCTGGTTCACCCCTCCATCGGAGGGTTCTTGACTCACTGTGGTTGGAGCTCGACGATTGAAGCACTGGGACTTGGACTGCCATTGATTCTGTTTTCCGGGGCGAGTTCGGACCTCGGGTTGGTTGCGAGGTTGTTACATGGGAAGAGAGTAGGGATGGAAATAGAGAGAAATGAAGTGGACGGGTCGTTTACGAGTGAGGCGGTGGCGAAGGTGATTAGAGTGGTGATGGTGGAGGCGGATGGCGAGCCCATCAGGGCCAATGCTTCTGCTATGAGAGAGATCTGCGGCAATGTTGAATTGGGAAGAAAGTACCTGACGGAGTTCACTCGGTTCCTTGAGAACTACAAACCATTGACGCTGTAGATTTGCCCGGTGTATATAATGCTCCGACTAAGTCGTGATTCCTGAGTAGTAATGCTTAATAGGATCTCATGTGACTCATTTCCTCATTTGTTTTACGAGTGGGATTGTGTTTGTACAATGTCCTCGTTCTCATGTGTTTTGCAGGTCGATGAGAGTTCCTAACTGAGATTTTGCCTCTAATGTGCTCATTTTCATTTTCCCTTCACCCATGTCGGTATGTATGTCATCCCTAAAACATGTATTTGAATTAATTTTTTATTTTTATTTTTTTGGTATTTGAATTAAGTTAACCGAAAATATTACCTATTTAGAGATAGTTCATATGCCTTTTGAGCCACTTAGTGAGTTTTAAATTGTTAAGTTTTATAAAATGGAAGAGCAAAATTATGTCTTGAGACACAATTGCTATGTCATATTCATAAACCTCACATCCCTGTTTGTGCTTGACAAGTTATTAGTTTTGTACTAATGGTGTAATCCTCAAGAATTGATATTTGAACAGTGCCAGGGCACTCGCCTCCTGCACTCTCCAGCCAACACATGCCTTTTATTTTTTTTTTGAATAAAATGTGAAATTTATTATCCATAAACTGATTGTACAATCAAGCAACAAATTAGCTACTACCAAGAATACATTCTCTCAAAACAAACTAACAAAACTGCACCAATCTATTCCTTCACGACATCTTCCAGGCCCCATTGCTTAGCAATATCCATAGGCAAGGGAGAAGACTTTGGTTGAGCAAATCCCAAGATTTTGCACCTCACATCAAACTGAACTTCATAGACAATCTCATCTTCAGCTTTAAAATGTTTTTGATGGATCCTCCTGTTCCTTTCCCTCCATGTGTGGTACACTGCTGCATTCCATGCTAACTTAACAAGAGTATTCTGCAAGGACTTTCTACTGACCTTTTTCCCCATCCAATGCAATAGACCCTGCCATGAATTAGTTAGGGGAATGCCTGCCATAACACTAAGTGTTTTCCAGATCTTCTGTGTGTAGCTGCATTTAAAGAACAAGTGCTCACTCGTCTCTAGCTCATTATTGCATAAAACACAAGTGTCAACAATGCTAAGAGTCCACTTTCTTTGCCGAGCTTTAGTGCTTAGCCTATTGAGAATAGCTAGCCAACTAATGAAGCTATGTTTAGGTATCGCCTGAGAGAACCATATCAATCTATGCCACACCTTCCTAGTCTTCTTCCTCTTTAGCCAATTCCAAGTCTGCCCAACCTTGAAATTTCCAGAATTTGAAGGTCTCCATATTACCATATCTTTCTCACCTTCTTTGGGGAACATGTCAAAAAGGTGCATCTGGATTTGAACTAACTGAGGAGATCTTGCTGGAGGCCACCGCCAAAAATTCCCATTAATCACACTTGCCAACTTTGCTTGAAATGGGATTCCTGCATCCCTAACAATGTTACTGCCATATGCATCAATTAATGGTCCAGAAGGGTGCCAATAATCGTGCCAAATGTAGATATTTGTGCCATCACCTGGGATGTGCTGGATAAGTCCCTTCGCTATATGCCGAAGTTTGAGGATCTTCCTCCACCCCCAGGATGCATCAGCTGGTATGCTAAGTGTCCAAAAGCTTCTACCTTTGATAAAATGATCACCTCTTAAAACTAAAATAATGTGGCCTAGTGAAAATGGAAGTGTTGGATGGGGAGTGCAATTGGCGAGTGTCCTTAGCATTACTCGAGTGTAAAAAGTGGAGTCTACCCACGTCGATTGTTGGACTTTGGAACCCATCTTGCAGGCTAATGTGGAATGACTTTGACGCCCACGTGGTTGATGTGGAATAATATGGGGCCAATTGTAATTTACCTAAAAATGTATTAATTTATTAAAAAAGGTTATATGCTTAACAGCCAAGAAGGCACGTCTAGCACTAAGTCATTTAGTAGCCATTCTCTAGAGGGAAAGTACTTGTACATGGAGTCTTGAATTCTATACACAATCACCACTGACCCCCTTTTCCAAAACTTTCCAAAGTTTAAAAAAAAAAAAAAAAAAAAAAAAAAAGCGAAAAAGGCACCGTTAATAAAAGTTAGTGATGGAGTGAGAGTTGGGAGGACAATGTTATGGAAAGTTGGGATAGAGGGACGACAATAATATGATTTTGAGGACTTTGAACGAATTATAGGTACGAGAGGACAATAAATTAAAATCAAAAGTAGATGAATTATAGTTGACTTTAACTTTAACAATATGTTTGGATTAAGGAAATTAGGAGGAGGGGAAACAATTTTTTTGTTTGATTATAAAAAAAAATTAGAGTAGAAGGGAGGGAAAAAAGTTTTTTTACTTTATTTTTTAAAAAATTCATCTAATTATCCAAATAAGGGAAAGAAAAGAGAAGGAAAAAAAAAGGATATAGTTCCCTTCCCTTTCTTTCTATTTCCCTCAACTCAAATATAATGTAAGAAATTCAATTTCTTCTTTGGTGATATTGCAACGTCAAGCTTGATAAATTCTAAAGTCTTTACCACAAGCTTAAAAAAATTATTTTGGAAATTTACATCCCCAAATGAGAATTCAAACATATTTCAAGGCATATATGGTTATTATCCACAACTGGGTTGAATCTAATCATCTTCATCATAATTTTATTAAAGGAGAGCTGTAAATGAAATCTTGGTTTCCAAGTGAATTTTGTTTTCCATTCACATGGAACACTTCATAGCCCATGGAGCAAAATATGAGATTAAATTTATAACATACGCCTTGATGGAGCTGTCCCAATTAAAAAAAAAAAAGGAAAATAGAAATCCATTTTTTTTTTATTAAGACTCGAACTAGCACAAAAAATAATCCATCCACACATAAAATTGTATGTCGTTCATTAGGGCAAAATGTACCTGGAGGTTGTTTCGCAAAATTTTTTCTTTAAGTTACTTTTTTAGCAAAAATTTTAAAATTTTTCTTTCCTAAGTTTGAATTATTTATTGAGGGAATGTGTTTTTTTTTTCAGCAAAATAGTGCTAAAATAACAGGTTTTGGAGGAAGCAATGGATTGTTGTTTTTGGCAAAACCCAAAATTCTTGAAATATAAAAGATAAAGATTTTAAAATTTTTGCTAAAAAAAACACCTTTAGAAAAAGTTTTGTCAAAGGGCCTCTCATTCGCATGTGGTTTGTGTTGGTGCATTTAACCCTCAGATCATGGAAAATTTACACTGAACTTCATTTGATTTAAGAATATACATTTAATTACTTAAATCATGAAAATGGATCTTTAACTTATTGTAATTTAAAAAATGTAAAATTGATCCCTAAATATATATATATATATTTATAGAACCCCTAAATCTTTTTGAGATTTCATCTTCATTATTAATAAAAATAACGTCAACCACACATCTTCACATCAAAAGGGAGGCAATCGATGATTTGGGAGTCAAGCACAATTTCACCCCCAACAATGGAAGGACAAGAGAGTGGCGGCAAAGTTGACCTTTCATGCCCATTTACATTTTTTTTTTGGGGCCCATCCCCAAGTGGGAAAAACCGAAAAAAAAAGAGATTAAAACCCCATTTGGTTCTTGAACTATTGTACGGATTCTTGATTTGGTTTTTGAACTAAAAAAATCCCTGATTTAGTCCCTACTATTTATCGTTTTAACCCCAATTTGGTCCTTCCGTTCAAATTCTTGTTATGTTTCTTGTTAATTTACTGTTACATGATGACATGCCAATTTTTAAAATACATGGAAATACAACATGACAACAAAATAATGACATGGAACAAAAATAATAATATGATAAAAAAATAACAATTCTTTGTTATATTTTTTTTCTTTTCTTTCATTTTCTCTCTACCCTTGGAATCGATCAATCGAACCCACGCCTAGGTTCCTTCGAACCGAGGCGCTGGGTTCGTTGGAACCCAACGACTAGGTTCGAAGGAACCGAAGTGTTGGGTTCCATCAAACCAATGGCAAAAAATTAGAAAAAATTTCTCTTTTTGTTTGTGGGTTTTGTTTGATGATGATGAAGAAACTAGCAAGGTAAGAGATTGAGATGCCT